TGCGGAACTATATAAAATTCTTCAATAAACAAATAATTGTAACGTTTAGATTAAAATTATTGAAAGCGTATCTAACCATAAACATAAACTCCTAAGTAATTCAAATAATGCGTTCTAAATTAAAATAAACAAATTGCTAAATTTAAAATGGCGAACTTATTTCTTTTTCTCTATTCTTTATCCACTTGGCAGTCCGCATCACCAATTCTCCACTGTTTCAATCGACCCGAACTAATCTGAAAAATTAATGTAAGAGTGAGTATTAAAAATACCCAGTAAGATACGTGCAAATTTCCATACACAGGTATATAACAAATAAATAATACACTTCATACCGCTCTTCTCTTATGGAGTATATCGGTGACCAAGCGACACACCCATCTTAGGTCCTCTTATTTTCATGTAGAAATTTCATATCTCTTTCTCTAGAACCCGAAGGTCCACTAGCATTCCATGCATATTTAATCGCATATAAGAGCATAAGGAAACGTAAACACTTTGCACATAAATGTATCTTACCTTGTTATCGAAATGTACACGAAAAATATTTGAATGCACGTTCCAAAATTCCTTCCTCTACTCTGTGAACGATTTATTGATCGACAGTGATAGTTGATGTATGACAAATTTCTGTTTTCACACACTCTTTCCTCTTTCTCTCTCTCTCTCTCTCTCTTTCTTCTCTCTCTTTCACGTGTGAATATTTTTTGGTGTGGTAAAATATGAAATCCTTGCCTAGTATTTATAGGTGTAGGCTAGAGTAGTAGATAAACCAAAACTTTGATTTGATAAAGTCAAATCCAATATGACACGTATCATAAAAAAATTGTACTTTATCATTATTTTATTTCATCTAAAAGAACTACCATTCCTATCCAATAAAAATGTGGTAGCCAATCAATCAAATTCAAAATGGGTTAAAACTATATAAAATTATATTTATCTTGTTTTCTTTCAATTGGGTATAACTTAATACGTTCTTATCCAAAATAATTTTTATCAAGTCATAAACTTTTAATTAATTACAAACTTCGAAATGAGTCTAATATTGATATACATATCATTACTTTATCAAAATCCAATTATTTGACCCCAAATATATAATATATTAATATTTATTTCACCTTAATCCCTCACTTTCAAAATAATATAATAATTTATTTATTTTCTAAAACAAAATTTCGGAATGTTACATTCTACATGCAGAGCCGGTCCTGAGGTGAGGCAGATGAGGCTTGCGCCTCAGGCCAAAAATTTAGGGGGCCTCATTTCGTTGGCCCTTTAATTGGCAGACTTGTAGACACAGTCCCCATTGTTGCAGCGTGGAGGGAAGCTTAGAGTTGGAGAAGGAAGATGATGAGCGTTAGGTCCCGTTTGCCCCCTTTTTTCCCCATTAAATTTCATTTTCTTTGCTCAAAAGTTGTAGGCTGCTGGGACCCACTTCTGAAATGGCTGCAACGATCATCTTTTGAAGCTATATGAATATTTTTAAGAACAACAAATGAGGCAACAAATGACAATAAAGCCCTTAGTATTTAAAATGTGGAATTGATGAATGTCAGCACACGAGAGTGTTATTGTCCTTATACACACAACGGTTATTTTGGCATTCATTATGCACTGACAATTGAAAGGAGTGATTGACGTGTTGCTTGTAGGTGGTGAGTTGAAAAATGTTGAATAATGTGGAAAAATGGAAAAAAAAAACGGGGGCCAAACGAGATCTTAATTGGGCCAATTTTTTTATCTTTTTTTTTTTTAAGATTGTGGGCCTTTTATTTTGGACTTTTTTTTAATTAGGCCCAACCTTCTCTCCCGTTCTTACTTCTCCCAAATCGGCAATTGTAAAACCCTATTCGACTTCCAAATCTGAAATTGTAGGTGAGCGATTCTCCAGCTAAGTATGTGAGCAGCCGGTGCATCGTCGTCCTCTGCCAGACGGCCACTGTCTCCACCCTACCCCATTTTGTCGACAATTGAGTTCGTGGATTATGGGTATGTTATATGTGTCAGATGTTCTTATTTACTCTAGTGATGTAAATTTTGTTGGTGAATTAGCTTCACTGCATCCATGATGTAGATGAATGAAATAAAAAATTTCCTCATTTTATTTCTGCTAATTAATTTTTCTTGAAGATGTTTTTGGTCATGTTTCGTATCATCTTTTCCGAAGAATGACTTCCCTTTTTTTTCTTTTTGCAATTTATTATTTTAAGTGTCCTTGTCTTGCTGTTTGTTGGTCAGTGAAATGAAATCCTTAAATTGCTCTTATAGGCAGGTTTATTTATTTTCTGATTAAAATTAAACTATTAACCCTCAAAAAGTAAAAAAAGTGAAAGTTATGTGTCTTTTTAACAATCAAGTGAAAAATCGTGTGATGATTTTATTCGATTATTTTTTGAGTAACAATAATTTAAAGATCAGCTTGTTAGGTTGTGAAAGATGTGTCACCTGGGGATCTTTGATTCTAATTCTGCTGTAGTAAAACTGAAAAAGATGGGTGGTTCGAAGAACTTATGCTTTAACTTTAACATTAAACAAGATTAACGTGATTGTTTTTTATGATTGAGATTGTTTTGTTATTGTTTTTATGATTGAGATTGTTTATTCGATCGTTTGAAACATTGTTGGTTTTGTCATTTTACAATAAATTTTTTTTTCGTATAATGTATTTTTTTTGTTGTTTTATTGGTTAGTTTTAAGTTAACAAGAAGTTCCATAATACAGTATTGAATTTGAATCTAAGATGATTTTGGGGGGCCTACTTTACGAAACTCGCCTCAGGCCCTGAAGATCACAGGATCGGCCCTGTCTACATGTATATATACTCCAATGTATCAATTGCTCAATTAATGAAAATAATTCATTCACATATTACTTTTATCACCGAGGTCGCAAAATTTGATGGTACAAAACTCAAGTTGATGTTTATAGTTTGAACTCAAATTCGTGGCATAGGGTTCATCGAGGACCAGTCCAATTGTTGGTTTATCCGAGCCAGTGTTTCTAAATGGAGACATTCATCGGCTGGCTACCGGTCATTTTACGCAAGAAAATTGGACACCCGAATATGATCTAATGAGTTGATATTATTATTTGATATTAGAGATGAATGCTTTAGAAAGATAGAATATATTGGGAGTGGCGTTTGTAGGTCGTGACGGAGTATAGTGTTGTTCAATCTTGGAATAAACAAAGAGTTTTGTTATGTGTATAGCACTTTCCTACTCTAATTTTAACAAATTAGATTTAGTTTTGAGGTAATAGTGCAGTGGAATCAGACAAAGAGTGGAATATTCGTATGTCGTGATTGGGAAGAAGATGGCCTAAGTTGTCTTACTTTCATAGATATGGAGTTTCGTCTAGAGTTGAATACAGGGAGGGGGGATTGGGCTGGGCTATAGTCCCCCCTAAGGCCCAAGAAATTTTTTTTAATGCATTTTTCATTTTTTTTTTGAAATTTTTTTTTTTTGTGTGTAATTTTTTTTTCTCGTATTAGCCCCACTTGAAATTTTGTAGCCCAGTCTTAAATCCAATCCTAGATTCGTCCCTGATTTCGTCAATTGAAGAAGATAGAAAACTGCATTTGCAGCAACCTGGTGTATGATATCATGATTATTATCAAGTCGAAATTTGCCTTATTGGATACATAATGTAAGAATTATGCTTCCCTTTTTCCACCAAATGAATAGGGTATATATTGATTGAATAATGTTATTTACAGTCACTCACTATCGCAGTCGCTTTACGTGACACACATATGACGGTTAGTGATTTAATATATGTGACAAGAAAAAACTACCAAATTAATACATCAAATTATAAATCGCCATGTAGGATGTCACATAGGGCGATTACCGCAATGAGTGACTATGAATAGCATTAATCATATTAATTAAGGCCCAATTAAAAGGATTTTTGAAAAGTTAAAAACCATTTTTAAATATATTTGAATTTTTTTTGGGAAAATTGCAGCAGAAGTCTCAAATCTTTAAAACACTTGTAGACTTTTCCTTAACCTTTGATTTGTTGTAGACGTCACCCCTAACCTTTACTTAGGTTGCAGTGAAGGTTCTTTTGGACGGAAATTGTCCAAACGCCCATCAATTGACCGTTCAAATAAAAAATTGACCACTTTTAACCAAAATAAAGGATGGTAAAATCGTCCAAACACTTAAAATACCTTTTCATCTTCCTTTTTACTTGTTCGTTTCTCTCCAAATGTAGAATATAAGTACAACCATAATAAATTGTCTGTCAGTTGTCAGTTTCTCACTCTCTATCAACATCTTGAACCGAATGTAGAAGAAATGGAGATGTCAGTGTGCAATTGCGGAACTTGTGCCCAGATGAATACATCGTGGACTAACTTGAGCCCAGGTAGACGATTTCTTACCTGTCCACGAGGGATGGATCTACAAGGTTGTACATTCTTTCTTTGGTGGGATCCCCCAATGTGTCAGAGATCGATGGAGCTGATATTTGGTCTTCTGATGTCGAGACGAGAGATGGAACCTGAAATTAGGCAACTCCGTTCGAATGGAGGTGCGGTATGGAAGATTTGGTTTTGTGGGTTTGTATATGGAATGTTTGTAAAGTGGATCTGCAGTCAAATTTGAGTAGGTTTTTTTGGGATTTTTTAGTTGGATCTGTAATCATCCTTTCTTCATGGTGTAACCTACTTTCCCTACGTTAATCAAGGCTTAAATGCAGTTGCAATGTTGTGGTGTTCTGTACATGTTCACTGTTAACATTGATCAATTTTATTTTTGAATAAATATGCAAATATTGACACCCAAGCGTTTGGTAAATGTTGTAGTAAAAGCCCCAAACGTTAGGTATATAGTGTAGATAAAGACCCCAACATTTCTCACATTATGGATTGTTGGTCCCAAACCTTTGAAAAATGGCGAAAAATGCCCCTTATCTATTCAACTACTTACAGTAAATACCCCATCACTTTAATAACAGTTTCCAGTCCAAAATTAAGAACAGCTTCAAGTGTAGATGCAACATAAAAATGTGTATACATTGGTAGCACACATTAATTTATGAAATCTAATATATGACATCACAAATAAAACTTCAACCCTCGAAATGAAGAGTATTTTAACACTTAACACATATATTGTCATGGTACCATTCCCAAAACATCAAATTCCATAATTCATTTCAAAAAGTTCAGTTACATTCCTACATCAAATGACATAGAGACTACACTGCTTTGGACTTCTTTCCCTTCCGCTTCTGTGACTGTGATTGTGGTGTATTTCTCTTTGAGGTAGCTGCAGCTCTCTCTCTCTTCCGCTTCTGTGACTGTGGTGCGTCAGTAGGCTGCGTCTGTGCAGTGCATGTACTCTTATTGTATCTAGCTTCTCCACACCTTTTACACGTCATTTGCATGCGTGTTCGGGTCATTTTAACTCTAGCGGGTGGTTCGATCTGAGATCTTTTTCTGAGCTTTTTAGGTCTGCCAACCTACTTCTTCTTTACTAGTGGCTTCAATAGGTGTTTCCCTAATTCAGGCCAAAGTTTGGGCCCTAACATTGGTTGAATCATGGGGTTGTATGCCATCAGATATCTCTCCTTCTTGTAACATTCATCTACAAATTCATCTATGTCTATTTTCCTTGATGGTATACCAGAAACGGCATGTGTATAGGGAATTCCACTCAGTTGCCATTTTCTACATGTACATTCTTTCCTCACCAAATTCACACTCCACCTCAAACCATCTATGTTGTGTACTTCAAATTTTTGATTACCTGCATAATTTGTCTTCATAAACCTGGTGTCTGATTTAGCCTTTTCAGTTATCCATAATATTTTTGGATCATATGCACGATCCCACCTTTGAGCTGCCTTCCTCTTTGCAGCCATCCTTGTCATTTGTTGATGTCTTATCTTATCCAACATTGTGATTATAGGCTTCTCCCTAGCCATCACGATGGAGGGATTGAAAGCTTCGCACAAGTTATTCAACAAGATATCGCATTTCGTGTGCTCCTGGAAATGAGATCTTGTCCATTGAGCTGCAGGCTTCTCTGTAAACCAACAGAAGGCTTCTTCATTCACTGTCTTCATCTCATTCATAATTGCATTCCACTTTGGTACAGTAGTAAACTTGGCTGTAGCTCAGAACAAATTCTTCAAAGTTAGCCATTTATGTTTGAGAGTGAAATTTCTATACAAATGTCTGGCGCAGCACCTGTGTTCTGCACCTTCACAACACTAATTCAGAACTTCAACCAATCCATTTTGCTTGTCAGATATGAAAGTCCAAGCCCTAATATTATACATTTCTATATCCACCACCTAAAATTCTATAAACCAAGTCCAGTTGGCTCTGGTCTCTGCATCCACGACTACCCAATCAACTGAGAACATACAATTCTCCCTGTTAATCCCCACTGCTGCCAATAATTGAGCCCCATGTGTAGTCTACAGAAAACACCCATCAAGTCCTATCACATGCCTACAACCAATCTTGAAACCTTCTTTACATGGCCCCAAGCATACATACATTCTCTTGAACACACCTCTTACTCCCTCAACCTGCATAGTACTTCCAGAGTTAGTTTTCTTCGACTCTTCCCCATAATCCCAAAGAATCTTGTATTGTTCCTCAACAAGTCCCGTCATAACCGCTGCACATTTTGTTCTTGTTCTGTAAAACTGATATTTCCATGAAACTATTCATTGATAACTTCGGATCCGACCTGAACTTACGTAGGTATTTCTTGGCCAAAAATCCTGCACGACTTTACTGTTTTACTAGACCAATGTGCAACTATGTTCGTCCAGGGACGTGTTGATCCTTAATCTGCTGTCTTGCTGTTTGTAGGCATACAATTGCAACGGATAATTCTCTTGACATCTTACTCTTATCCTATGTGGTTCATTCTTCACCTATCGCAGCTCTCCTGCATTCTTCATAGAGTATTGTACAATAGCCGCTCTCAAAGTTTTTGTGTTCTCAAACTTCATACCTGTATAGCGCAGCAGAACATTTTAAACATATTAGTATATGCAAATAACAGAACCCAAATATATGACAAATGAGTATCTGGGACCCCAAACCTTTGAAATATGAGCACCTAGGGCCCCATACCTTGGAAAGATAAGCATATGAGACCCCAAAGCTATGACAAATAAGAATTTGGGGCCCCAAATGTTTTAAAAATAAGTATCAGGGGCCCCAAAGCTATTGCGCATAAGCATTTGGGGCCCCCAAACAGGTAAACCAGTTTACAGATCACTAACCAATCTGGAATTTAGGGTCTACCATGTCAGTTGAAGGGTTGAACCAAACTTCCTTTCCACTGTTACTTGTGGTACCCGCTTCATCACCACTTGACATACTTCTCAGGTCATCCGAGTCCCCGCAGTCTGAACTACTGTTTACTGCATTCACGTTTACATTCTGCTGATTAGGTCCCTTATTGCCTACATTCCCCAGCCCGAAGTCTAATCCCTCACTCAATCTGAAAATTCTGTCTTTGCCTTGGTCGTCCTCTTCCTCATCCTCCCGTTCGTATTCAGCATCGGAGAAATGTTCCAGGCCAATAACTTCTTCTTCCACCTCCGACTCACCACCAGAAGATCTAGTGCCAGTATTCTGAGCATTAATGGCTTTTTCAACAGAGGGTAAAATAGGTGCATTTCCAGGATCTTCCAATCCGGTTACACCCTCAAACGTGGGCTACTCGAACTGTGTGTCAACAGAATCTTTCAATCCTGTTGCACCCTCAAACGTGGGTTGTTCGAACTGTGTATCAATAGGATCTTCTAATCCTGTTGCACCCTCAAATGTGAGCTGCTCGAGCTGTGTATTTGTACCCTCAAATGTGGGCTGCTCGAACTGTGTATCTGCACCCTCAAATGTGGGCTACTCAAACTGCGAGTTTCCATGATCATCCACTCCTGATGTACCCTCAAATGCGGATGATTGATCGACGGTTGCATTTCGAATTGTTGATGGTTCAGCAAATCTATCCGGTCGATCATTTGCAACTTCTACTCCTGCTTCATTTTCAACTGAACATGGTATATCAGAGGTTGATGTCTCCCATATTTGCTCCACCGCCTGATCATTTGTACCTACATCTGCCTCAACTACGTCCACTTTGTCCATTACACTGTCTCCACTGCTATCCACACCGTCTAACTTACGCAACTGATTCCCTTCAAATTCATCAACCACGTAACAATTATCACCCTCTATCGTTTCATCGAAAACCTCAACTTCAAATGTAGGTTTCTGTCCAACCTCCGTATCCTCATTGTTGACACACACATTCTCCAAAATCTCACCAGTTTCCATATCAGTCACTAGACATCCAGTTGGTACATTCTCATCCCATGGTAATTCCAATACTTCAGTTTGTATCGACAAACATTACATATCTATAAATCTTGTAGGACCAACCCATTTTATAACATTCATGAAGTTTGCTTCAGTAACTAATCAAAATGACCTCTCGGACAATCTTTTCTTTTCAAGCCTATAGATGTATCTCATTCGCTCTTTGTAACCCAGCATCTTCATTGCATTGTCTAACAGAAATCGGTTGAATAAATCTGGATCCACGTAGTTGAGATAGTTGATCTTACCATGTTCATACATGTAATCCCATATCTTACTGAAAAACATCCCACCATGGTTCAGGCGGGCCGTGAAATAGGCGAAGTTCTCTCCTAAAAAGGGGAAACATTACACAAGGCTAATCAGAACAAATATGAATATCAAAATAGACATTCCTACGTACCCATTACAACATTTTGTCCGTATAGTCCATTTCAAGCAATTTTCAAAAACCTTAGGTATTGCGTTCACCACAAATAACGAAAGCACAAAATCGATTACAGATAAGGGGCTATAGTACGTCTTTGTAACAATCTCAATGTTTAGGTATATGAGTTTCTCAAAAATAATACGTTTTCAACATTTTTACTCTCTATAACTGCCAACGACGACACCTGCAAAAACGTACCATAGATCGGTTTTCGTAGTGATTTCCTTAGATGGCATGCACATCTGACATCTCCGTCGTCGACTTCTCCGACTTCAGGATAGTTCATTGTCCCTTTCTTTGCAAATCTTTCTTCGCTTCTTCTCGTTGTTCATGAGCCAAAAATTCGAAAAATAAGTAAAAATGAAGATGAAAATGTGGTTTAAGTGTTTGGACGATTTTATCCTTATCTATTTTGGTTAAAAGTGTCAATTTTTTATTTGGGCGGTCAACTAACTGGCGTTTGGACGGTTTTCGTCCAAAAGGGCCGTCACTATAACGTATGTAAAGGTTAGGGGTGACGACTGCAACAAATCAAAGGTTAGGAAAAAGTCTGCAAGTGTTTTAAACGTTTGGGGCTTCTATTGCAATTTTTCCTATTTTTTTCAACTACTTTGTCTCATTAGAATTTTTTTTACATGAAATTAATTTAAATTAACTTCCTCAAAATGCAGAAGATGAAAATAGAAGCCTTGTCAAATCGGCCCTTGTTACATTATAATTATAAAGAAATATCATTATAGTTTTTTAATACGATAATTTTACAACGAATTATATCCTTTAGTCAGGTTAGTTATTGCCTTGTAACATATGCTAAATTTGAAACGAAATAACAAACACTACAATAAAAACAGCCTTTTGCAACGTTCAAAAAATGTTGCTGAAGATCTTTTACAACTTTTGGACGTATGTTGCCAACCTCAGTGTTGCCGTAGAGCAGAAGGATACGGCAACATTTTATAAACGTTGCGAAAGCGAAAGACTTTCGACAACGTTTTTTTAAACGTTGTGAAAGACTTTCAGCAACGTCAACATTGCCGAAACTCTTTCGCAACACGTTGCCGTAGACACTTACGGCAACGTTGTCGAAAGTCTTTCGCAATATTTTAAAAACGTTGCCATAAGTGTTTCGCAACAGCTTTTTTATACAGTAATTTATATAAATTGACTCACAAAATTGAAAATGACAAATTTTGAAATTGTATAAAAATTGATAATTTCATTACAAATTTTTGAATACATAATGTGAAGCATGAATATTCTTCTATACACTTGAATACATAATGTAAAAAATACGAGCATGCTATTGAAAAACATAACCAACTTTTCTTCATCTAATTCACATTGAAATTAATGATGTTTCAGGATGCCTTTGTACCAAGCTTTAGTGTCATGTGCTGCTCACCCCAACCGTCATTGCTCTTAACAATTGCAAGTCCTTTTTTATGCAGTAATCCAGTAGTAAGCCAAAGAATTGCAAGTCCTGCATTTGTAGAATATAATTTTCAAAGAATTAGTAAGCCAAAGTAGATATGCAAAAAAAAAAAAAAAAAGTATTATCATTTCTTCTTTGAGAGGAATAAAGATCTATGTACTTCTTTTGTCAAAGAATCCACTAGTTGCTCTTTACCAGTTATAAGAGGAATATTACTTCAATTAATCAAACTGTCATGATAGGATTCTAGTAGGTGATAAGTGTAGTTTCTACACTTATTTGGGATATTAAATGATGATATTTTGTTATTCTTTGAATGGACTAGTATCTGATTTGTTACTTATTGCTTTTATTAGGAAAAGTTCATGTTTCAAAGAAGAATTGGAAAAAAGAACGGAAAGTGACTAAATGAAGCAAATTCAAAGTATCGGGACCAAAGTGTAAATATTTAATGGTTGATTTAGACCACAAAAGATAATTTGAAGATTGATAGGAGTCAATTGAATGCAAATTGGAGTAAAAAAGGAAAGGGATAAGATTAGAATATTATCATAAATCAACTTCCAATCATATATGATATCTTCAAGATTTTTGGTCAACTTGAGACCCATTTTTTGGATGGAGAATGTTTGAATTGAAAAAATTGTATTTCTATAAGAATTGTATATATTTTAATTATCTTTCCAATGCACTTTTAATCACCTAAATCAGACACCGATAGAGAAAATTATGATCAAAATACTAAATGCTGTGCAGAGACAAAATTATGTGCGCTCGAAGGCAACTTTGTTTATTTGATTCGAACTCTTTTGAAGACAATTTGGACGTGAATTTTGACCAAATTTCATCAAATAAATACAAGATATGGGCAACAATGAAAGGGTCTCTTTCTTGCCTCTTCATACACAATAGTTTCATCAAATCCATCAAGAACAAATGACCAATTGCTATATTTTGAGAGAGAAGATCAAGTCATAGCAATGAATTGAAGTTCAATTACAGCAAGTATTGAAGAATTCAACTTTGGACGTGAAGATCAACATCTTTTCTATTCTTTCATGATCTGGGTGATATTTTTCTATTATTATTCTTGTAATTTATATATTAATATACTAGGCTAGTTTTTCATTATATTAGATGAATGATGAACCTTATTGTTTGTTTATTTTAATTCAAGATAATTAATTTAGTATTTCATGATTTTTTCTTGATCGGTTTTGCATTCCCATTGAACTATTTAATTGCTTGATCACCAATTAGATAGTAAATTGCTTGTTGTAGTGTAGAAATACTCACAATAAGTCTAGAACACGGTAAAATCAACACATGGACAATAAGTGTTAGGAATAATATCTATGGCATGTGCAATCATGTGTGATAAATCCTGTGAATCAACGCATATTTTTCATATGAATTCGGACTAGGAATAGAATCGAGTCGTGTTAAACATAGGATTAATATATCTTGAGAAAGAATATTGAATAAAAGTGGATTATCAATTGTCTTGAGTGCATTAATTTACTAGATTATAAATTAAGAGTTGAATTAAATGGTAATAGGGGGATTCACGATTCCAATACAAATATCCACATATTAAATAAATATTTTATTTGTTTTCTTAGTTTAAAATTAGCATAGAAAACATACAAATCACAACTTTTTTGATTTTATATTACTTCGAATTTAGTAAAAGCTACTTAACTAAATATTAGACCTTATTCCTCGTGGGAACGATACTCTTAAGTCACAAATTTTATTACTTGTACAACGATATCGTACGCCTGCGGATTTCACACGAACAGTAGGTCTAGACAGGAATTCTCCTATAAATATTCTAACTATAGTCTCATTCCCAGCAGAACACGTTCCTGCGAGTAAAAAGCATGTTGTAACCCCTCTTAAATATAAGACAGGCCATCTTATTCCTTAATACCGCGCTTTTAACTCTGCCTACTCTATGGTCAATCAAAAACAGAGGCTGTAAACAGGTGTAAGAAAAATCAGTACACACTTAAAGTAAAAAGAGATTAAAATAGTATATCATTTATGCCATCAACCAATGATGATTAGACCAGAGAATTCACAATGTCAACACTGATATAGTGTCATCTAGCTACTGACATATGGCATAAACTATTAGGGATGGAGCTAGGAATTAATGTTACGAGAGGCAAAACTTTAAAAATTTAATGTGCAAATAAAATTCAAATATAAAAAAAAAAGTCATAATATAATATTATCAGTTACAGTTGAACTCGACGATGCTATATAGCATAAAATTTATCAATAGTAGAATCTAAATCTGAATCTAAATCTAAATTCAAAGAAAATTCTCGTTCAATGTAAAGTGTCAAACAATCAGCAAGAAAATCATCATCCATTTTGTTATAAATTTCCGCCTTCACATGTTTCATTGCAGAAAATGCTCGCTTCACAGTAGCCGTTAAAATAGGCAATGTCAATATTAGACGAATAAATTTAGTCAAATTGACGTAACTCTCCTATCTTCTACTTGCATCCAATTCCTGACATAAATCAGAAAGAGTAGTACTTGAAATCGAGGTTCAAAAATCACATCATGCTGATAATGTTGCAATTCAACTTTCAAACTGTGAATATCTTGCTGTGAAAATCTTGAGAATAAAATTTCTCTGCAAGCTTGCAAATTTTATCCATGTTAAATGATTCTAAAGATTTTTTCGGATTCAGTGCTTCATTGAGAGAAAGAGTTCTAATGATATCTCATTAAATCTTGCTGACGAAGTGAACAGGATAATTAGATGAATTATTAAGCTTGTTTAGATGCTTTAAAAGCAAACCAATCAAATGTCTGTAAAAAAAATTATAACCATAAACATAACTTAGCAAAAAAAAAAGAAAAGAAATGAACATAATAAAAATTAGAACCATTACACACTGTCTTTGATTCGGACATTCAGTGGACTCTTAGAACTTAATAAAAATTAGAACCAATTTCAGAATATATTGTAAAGCATTAAAGATCAACATCTAGCCATGAGATACATGTTCTAAATGGTTTCTCGATTTTATTATGTTCTAATTTTTTTAAGAATATGTTACACACCATTTTCAGAATATGTTATAAAAATTAAAATCGTAGCGTAATAATATAACCCATAAACATAACATACATAAAAAAAAATCATCATTAATCAAACATATTACACATAACAAAAAAAAATTAAAACATCAGAACAACTTGCCCAAAAAATTTATTTTAATACCCAAAAAAAAAAAAGAGTTATTAAAAAAAGCCACAATTACTAACCAATAATCGAAGGAAACGAGTTTTTGACTAAAAATGGGGTTCAAATCGAATTATCAAAGGAGTAGCCGACAGCTAACCGAGATTGAAACTCTTTAAACTTTACTTGTTCTTCTTCCTTGTTTGTGGCCGACGACTCTCCTTTGAGATGGTAATTAGGCAAAAGAATAGAAAGATTGGGTATGAGCTTATTAGGGTTATTCAAAGATTTGGGGATTTTTGTTTTCAAAATTTTCGACCAAATAGCCAGACGCATAAATTGTAGGTGCAATGAAAATGAAGGAGATATTTTTGTTGTATAATTGGCTAATGAGATATTGGGTATTAAAATAATTTTTTGGGCCAGGTTGAATTTAGAAAATGGGGTGGGCTAATGGACTAAAACTTAAACATTTCAAACATTTTTTGAGCCTTTTCATGGATAAGGGCTTTGGAAGCACTGGGCTACAGCCCAGTGCTACCCCCCTTACTCCGTCTCTGTAATTTATGATGCTGGAATAACATGACCATGCAAATGCAACTACTCAAGTTATCAACTGATATAGGGTTGTAGTTTATGATTATATAACCATGTAACAATGCGAATGCAGAGAGATGTGAAGCCTCAAACTGTGAAAGAAGAAATAAAGCATTGAAATAGTTTAAACAGGGGTAAAGCCAATGACAAGATAATTTCTTCTGAGCATGAGTTGTATACAAAAAATACAAAAAATTGATAAACACATCTACCTTAAAAATAAAAATCCATTCCTACCTTCATTTTTTTCTTTTTCCATCATCAAATTTATATCAATTACCTTCACGAATGAACCCATCAGGTGCATTCTGTAAAATGTGCTTACCATGGGGCATTTAAGTGGGGAAAGAAATGAACTTGAATTCTTCATAACTTGTGTGCCTAGAATGAAGAAAAGAAACTCACGAAAAGTCTTATCCCAACTTAAACAAAGAAGTAAGCAAGAAATGGGAAGCCATTAGGGAGCTTGAGTTGTAGCATAATATCTGACACAAATATAGCAAGGGAAGCTACTTCTCGATATTGTGCCAACAACTAACCAGCCATGTTTACATAACCAAATTTTTAAATGGTAAAAATAAGTTTATCGGACCTCAAAATTACTTTAATAAGGGAAGAATCTCTCCCCTGCAGGGGTGCAATTTATGGCCATTTAATGAGGTAATTGTTAACTTGCAGAAGTCCCTATCTTTTGTTGTTTACTGATGATGCCTAAGAATAAAATTTCTGTTTGTTGCAGCAAAAGGGAAATTTATGGACTTGCATATATGACTAAGCATTATACATTTTGTTCTAGCAAATGGGAAATTAAAAATCTTCGTTCACTTACCCAAAATTTCTTAAAATCGTAGGAAGATTTAGAAGCAAACACTCAAATTTACCAAATTAGTTCTTTATATTTAGGTTTTGAGTTAGAAACACAGATCGAATATAATTCTAAATCCTAATCCCATTTTGGATTCCCATTCAATATTTAAAATGAACTAGAATATGTTAGCAATAAATCCTATTCCCAGAATCTCATTCAATATAATCCTAATCTCATTCAATACTTGAGCAATAAATCATAATCCCATAACGTGATTACCTAATCCTACCACCCACTACCCAGCACACGACAGTGAAGGCACAAAACCCTCCGGCTCCACAGCTCACCCTAAATCAGATTCTCCATCTCAAAATATTTTAAAAGAACAATAAAAAATATAAACAAAATGAGTACCTCCGTAGCAGTGGCAACCTATAGGGACGAGAGAGGACATTGAGGTATAATTTGAGACTGAAGTAATCATAATTTGATAAATTGGGATTTGGCTTCCACTGATGGTATCGATGGAAGAAAAGAAAAGTGACGCAGGTGGCACCATATCGAGTGCTCATAGAGATGAGAGTGAGACAATGAGAGGCTGAGAGAAAAATTCAAAGTCGTCGTGTCTTCATAATCGTTCGTTCTCACAGATCAGTCGATGAATGTGATTGGTGAGGGTTCAGATATATTGGATTGGATTTTGGGTTTACTCTTGTGTTGGGCTGCTGGTAATGGTGGGCTAAAAGAAAAAAAGGGGCTTGGGTTGGTGAGCCTTTTGCAACATTTTTTAAATGTTGCTAAAGATAAAACCTTCCATAACGTTTTAAACGTTGCGAAAGAGAAATCTTTTTATAACGTTTTCTAAATGTTGGGAAAGAGAAAGCCTTTTGCAATATTTTACGAGCGTTGCGAAAGAGAAACATTTTTTGCAACGTTTTACGAACGTTGCGAGAGAAACTTTTTGCAACGTTTTACGAACGTTGCGAAAAAAGAAACTTTTTTGCAATGTTTTATAAATGTTGCAAAAGATAAAACTTTTCACAATACTAAATAAACGTTACAAAAAAGCGACATTAGCAACATTAGCTTAAAAATGTTGCCAAATCTCACTTGTTAACACCAAAGACAACATTCACTTATTAGAATGTTGCAATAGACCCTTTTAGCAACATTTAATTAGTGAATTTTGCATTTTACATGTTGCAAAAAATATATTTTTGTTGTAGTGAAAGCATGATCAAGTAAGAAAATTGAGCCTATGTTTTGTTAATATTTACAAATTGTTATAATCGATAGAATACTTTTTATCTACAAATTTTGTGAACAATATGTATTATTAATTTATCTATCACTTATTTCTATTTATTTATAATTTAAGATATTTATAAACACTTTCCAAATGAGCGAGATACTATCATATAAAGCCACCATTTCCGCGCCACGTGAACTCCACTAACTTGAGAAAATATTTAAAAATTAAATTTCAAGAATGAGTGTTTTAAAGTATGCTTGGTGAAACCTTTCGCTGATTATAAGTTGATTCAATATTATTTCTATTGCACACATTTCATCGGAACGAGCACAAATTTTGTTCATTATTAATCAAAAGGTTTCATATAGAGCTCACAAACTTATAAATAATCTACAAAAAACTTACTAAACATAAAATTCAATAATTCCCTCTCGTAACTCTAGGCTTCTTCGTGCCAAATCTAAATATAATACTTTTTTAACTTCAAAAAACTTAAAAAGCAATTGATTGTAATATAGAGTTATTAAATCTTATATAAGCATATAAATACCAGTAACCCTTCTTAGCAACTAGAACAATCAATGTTAGTTTTAGAATACTCATATTCCATAAATATCACGTCCTTATGTATTATAATCTTGTGAATGCAGCAAATCATGTACCAAACAAAATATTATGTTCATATATTATATAATTTATATTGGTATGCTTCAAATTCTCTCAATTAAAACTAAAAACGTTGGTTTAGTTTAAATTCATTTTTCTTCGATTTCTACATAATACTCGAATGTGCATAGTGGAAAGGTTCCACATAGACTATTTCGCCAAGTCTTGCAAAGCTATAAGAGCATGCTTAGGGTGACTTATTTAAAAATAAGCAATAATTGTATTTTTTATATGTTGGTTTATTATTTATTGCTTATCTTTAAGATAAGTCATCCCAAACTTGCTCTAGATCATATTGGTTTGTCCATCATGAATTGCTTCAAAACATTTTTGTTGTTCATTTTACAGTACAAAAGGTTCAAATATTATGTATGGCAATAAGAAGAGGGGCTTAGAAGAACTGATTTCAAAAATGGGGATAGAAATTCAAATTTAACTCTTCTTGGGGAGCTAATTTATAATTAGAACAAGAGCATCACGTGCACAAACACTCTTGGCACGTGATCGCCATTCACCCCACCTTTGGTCACCAAAGTCCATTCTTCCAACTCTCCATTTTAGTATTTCAGAAATGTTTCTTAGTAGTTTTGAAATGATCAAACTTGTAGCTATTTTCAGTCCCAGTAGTAAACAAAATAATAAAAGAAATTACAAGAACACTCAAGATTTTTCGTCCTTAGGCCTGAATGTTTACCCACAAAGGGCTAATCACTACGTTGAGCATCCACTTTAAGTGGTTATCGCTCCAATTCACTAGAACCAACAAAATATCAAGTGTTTAAGGATTACAACATAATAGATCTTAAAAGATCTAGCCCTCAGACTCTGAAAAATACTGATTCTCACTCACACAGATTACACCAACGTAATCAACACCAAACACTCAATCAGTAAGTAGAATCATCACAAGAATATTGTAATCTATACTAGATCTCACCAAGAACACCTAGAAACCAAGAGATTACAGACGAAAATCAAGAGTTTTCAGAAAAGGGACGAATAGAGAACAAGACCCACGAAGAACCCAGAAGTCTCTCGAATAATCAGATAAGTGAAAAGTCGAGGGCTAGGTAAATGAAAAATCATTTGCATCCAACGGTTCAGTCGACTGCACCTGGCATCATCTAATCCATCCAATTAAAACAAACTAAAGTCGCATTTGCAAGAGAAACACGAGACTGCACAAGTGGGGGCAAACCGGGTCACATTCAGTTAAAAGGGCCACTCTATTTGGGCTGCATCATTGGGCTCCAAAAACTTAAATGTCGAGCATAATATCCAACATTCTCCACCTTGCTTGACATTTTGGGTTTCATGTGGATTAGAGAATAACTCCTCCTTTAGGTTTCATTTGCTCTTATTTCCTGCGCACACACACACACACAAACTTTAATTAGTAATAATATTTAGGAGATTTAAGCAATCCCTAAATTTATGTAAAGGAAGTATCTTTGTTCACATATCAGCTGGATTACATTTAGTAGAAATCTTATCAATTTTTATGATTTCTTTTTCTATGATATCCCTTATAAAATGAAATTTGACGTCTATATGTTTAGTTTTATCATAAAAGATTGGATTTCTACTAAGATGTATAGACGATTAACTGTCAGAAAATATAGTAGCATTGTTATCAGAAAAATCAATTTCATTTAACAAACTTTTCACCCAGATTCATTCCTTTACAGCATCTGTAGCTGCAATATATTCTGCCTCTATTGATGACAAGGCAACCAATTTTTGTAGCTGTGATTTTCAACTTATGCAGGTATCATTTAGAGTAAAGACATATGCATCATTTAGAGTACAGACATATGCAGATGTTGATTTTCTATTGTCACAATTACCAGCAAAATCTGAATCAACATAACCTTTGAGTTTTAACTCTGTTTTACCTTTACCAAAAATTAATCCTAAGTGTGATGTTCCTTTTAAATACCTTAACAACCATTTCATTGCTTCCCAATGATATTCACCTTGATTACTCATGTATCTACTTAAGACACTAATAGCAAAAGCAAGATCAGGTCTGGTACAAACCATGATATACATAATAGATCCAAAATTCTGAATCAACATAACCTTTGAGTTTTAACTCTGTTTTACCTTTACCAAAAATTAATCCTAAGTGTGATGTTCCTTTTAAATACCTTAACAACCATTTCATTGCTTCCCAATGATATTCACCTTGATTACTCATGTATCTACTTAAGACACTAATAGCAAAAGCAAGATCAGGTCTGGTACAAACCATGATATACATAATAGATCCAACTGCATTTGAATAAGGCACATTTTCCAATATATTTCAGATTTAGGACACTGTTCTGTAGAAAATTTAAAATGGCTGCCTAAGGGTAAAGAGACTTCTTTGGCTTCGCTCATAGAATATCTATATAAGATTTTTGAAATATAGGATTGTTGAGTAAGGAACATATTGTGATTATTTCTATTTCTTCTAATTTCCATTCCTAAGATCCTCTTGGTAGAACCTAAATCTTTCATTTCAAATTCTTGCTTCAATTTTTGTTTAATATTATTTATCTCAGTTGAATCATATCCAGCAAGTAACATATCATCAACATACAACAAGAGATAATAAGATTTAGGTCCTCCATTTCCTTTATAATAAAAACAAGGATCATATTAACTTCTATTAAATTCAAGACCTTTAATGAAAGTATCAAACCTGATGTACCATTGTCTGGGGGCTTATTTCAAGCCATAGAGAGATTTCTGCAAAAGGCAAACACAATTTTCTTTGCCTTCCTGTTCAAAAACTCTAGGTTGGATCATATAGATCTTTTCATCTAAATTTTCATAAAGAAAAGCTGTTTTCACATCTAATTGTTGTAATTCAAAATTAAAATGTGAAACAAGAGCAAGTAGAATCTTTATAGAAGTATAGTTGACTACAGGAGAGAAAATCTCATTGTAGTCAATTCATTCTCTTTGATTAAAACCTTTTGTTACTAATCTCGCCTTGAACCTAGCATTTCCAATTTTTTGGTCATCTTCCTTTTTCTTATAGACCCATTGCAGTCAATAACTCTTTCCCCTTTAGGTTTAGTTACCAAGATCCATGTCTTATTTTTAGTTGATGAAAGCATTTCATCCTCCATAGCTAAAACCCAGTGCTTTGCATTTTTTCCTCCAATAGCCTCTTCATAAGTTTCAGGTTCATTGTCTAAAGTTGTTGCACACTAAGTGCAGTGATAAACTTAGGTTCACTATATCTTACTGGTGGTCTAATTTCTCTTCTTTCTCTATCCCTAGCAAGATGGTAATCTTCTAAGGGATTATTTTGTTGTTCAGGTTCAGGAACAGGTTCAGTATCCTGTTTCTGAGGTTCCTTCGCCTCAAGCTGATATTCATTGTCAAGGTTTGGGTCCCTAGTTTTTACTTCAGATTGCAGGAAATGTCTATTTTTATCAATTTCAATGCCTATAGTATCTTTTCCTTTAATACAAGGAAAATCCATCTTATTAAAGATGACATTCCTATTAATTACTACTCTATAACCTCCTTGATCTTTTAGCCAAATTCTGTAACCTTTAACACCTTCTCCATATCCCAAAAATATACCTTTTATAGATCTGGGTTCTAATTTTCCTTCACTTTGATGTACATAAGCTGCACATTCAAAGATCCTAAGTTTGAAGTAGTCAACAGAGTGACCATTCCAAACATGGTCAGGTGTATCATAATCTAGTGATTTTGTAGGACATTTATTTATAAGAAAATAGGCGATTTTCACAGCTTTCCCCCAGAACAATTTTGAAAGGCCTGAACTTATTAACATACATCTCACTCTTTCTAATAGAGTCCTATTCATTCTTTCGGTTAAACCGTTCTGTTAAGGTGTATAGGTTACAGTCCTACGTCTTAAGATTCCATTTTCCTTACAAAAATTGTCAAATTCTTCATTACAGAATTCAAGTCCATTATCAGTCCTAAGAGCTTTAACACTTTTATTTATTTGATTTTCAACAAGAATTTTCCAAGTGATGAAGCTTTGACAAGTTTCAGATTTATTTTTCAAAAGTATGACCCAGTTTTTCCTTGAAAAATCATCAACTATCAATAGGTAATATTTAAAACCAGAATAGGTGGACACGGCAGCTGGTCCCCATAAATCTGCATGCAAGTAATTAAGAATAGATTTAGATTTATGGGTACCAGTAGCAAATTGAAGTTTCTTTTGCTTCCCATAAATGCAATGTTCACAAAAAGACATTTTTTCTATTTTATCTTTTCCTAAAACACCTTGTTTCTTAAGAACATGTAGGCTCTTATCACTTATGTGCCCCAACCTTTTATGCCAAACTTCAGATTTATCAGACAAAGTTACACTTGCAGCAATGTTTTGATTCTTTAGATGTACAGCCTTTAAAGCATATATGTCATTTGATTTTTCTACTTGAATAACTTTTACAAAATTCTTTTGGAGTGATAGAATTCCTTTGGTTATGATTGTATTAAAACCTTCATCATCAAGAGTTCCTAAAGAGATTAAATTTCTCTTTAATTTTGGAATATATCTAACTTTATTTAAAATCAGCACATTTCCATTTTCAAGTTTTAATACAATCTTACCAATG